GCCTGCCCAAAGAAAACCAGCCACAAGAGTGAACCAGCATGGTCCTTAGATCCTCAGATTACAATAAACATCCCCTTTACCTTCACTTTCCTCCTCAAATAAGCCTGTGACCAAAATAATCAGCACCCCACAGCAGCTGCCTGGTTCACAAACAACTGTGAATACAGTGTCCTGCCTTTCCTTTTCCTATTCCCAAATATCAGTGGCAAAAGGGAGAAGGTAGTAGAGGAAGCATGCTGGCAGAGTAGCTAAGAGGACACTGTCAAATGTGCTCCTGCCACCCAAGAACTCGATCAGTACCCTTAACCAGGAAGTGTCAAAGGGTACCAAAACACAGAGTTTACAACTGAACTGCTAATTCAAATCACTAAAAATAACACCCCAAACTGTGGTTTGAGTTATCCTAAGATAAGAGAGTCTTGAAGCATTGTAACCAGTCACCTGAGTTTTCCCCAACTAAAGGGCCAAAATTTGTAATTAATTTTTTTCATTTACATATGCTTTTGTTGTTTTTACACTTCGTACAGCTCTTGGGTTTATTACTTCAGCAAGACCTGTTCACTCATGTGTGCTGAGAATGCCTTAATGCTCTGTGAATCACAGATAACACAGAGCTCTACACCTTATTTGGTGTAAAAGGAGGGAAATCGCTTGAGCAGAATGTAAAAAAAAAAAGTTAGCAAGAAGCTGGCTTGTTGTAAGTACAGACATTTACTAGTTATTAGTCATTAGTCGAAACTGATAATGATGGGCAGTCAAGCATAGTGCTTCTCATCTTTGTTTTCAATGACGATAAACTGCCGCCCGTTGCCAAACAGTAATTCAAAATGGAGAAAGGTACTTAAACTTGCCTCAGATGAGCAACTGGGTGCATGCCAATTTTTTACATGAACAGTCATAAGCATGTTCCTGCACAGCAGGATGTGATCAAACTATTCAAAGCTGTAAAACCAGGTTTGCTTGCCAGTTATGTTATTGCTTCAAGATCAGCGTATTACAGACGGTACTTTGCCAGCCGTGAAACCGCTGTTTTTCCTTAACAACAAATTCTACACCTTTAATATTTAAAACTCTGTACAGAACTGACTGTTCCCAATTAAAAAAAAAAAACAAAACCATCCACAAAATGAAAGTTAGGACTGATAACATATCAAACACACGTTCTCCTGAACTATAAGCCATCTCTTACTTAGCTTGAAAAAATCGCTTCCTTCAAGCTGTGCCAATTAAAAGGTCCCCTTTCTTCCCCTTTCTTCTCTAAACCAGAAGAGTAATTGTAATGACTTACTCAAGTCCTCAGCTTCAGCTGCAAACCCTGAAACATATTAACATTCCTGTCCATAAGGTGTGATGTGGTTAATAGGTGGTTGCTAGTTTGAGACATTGCACTGTATTGCCTCCTGCTGGAAACCACTTCTTTAAAGTATTTTAAGAAGATCACACAATGGGACTGTGCCATATGTAATCTTTATTAAATACCTGTCACTAATTGGATTACTCAAGCAAGAAAGATTTTTGAAGAAAGGCAGAACTGTAGTACAACCAACAGGACAAATAAGTAGTTTCCTTGAATGGGTTAGGACAAACCTGAACATTACAGACAAGAAACTGATGTTTTATTTCTCATGACAGTCAGCATCTTTCTCCATTTTCCTTTGAAAGAATTAGTCATAAAATAGACTCAAACTTCCCAGTATAACACAATATCTGTTCACTAACAAACATATCTTAGCAAATACAACCAAACAGTTGAGTTTGTTTTTTTAAGGGGGTTGGTACAGGAGAAGATGGATGTCAATGTTTAGCCACGCTTTAGTTGTTTGTTTTTTATTCACTTGAAAATACATACTAAAAGTAGTATCAAATATTTGAGTTTATACCATTTTATTTGTTTTCACACATACAAAAAGTAGTTTGCATATTTGCTCAGCAATCTAGTGAATAATCTAAGATTACATACACATGCACAGCTCAATACAGTGACAGAAGTACCTCTATCTGCTTCCTAGTAAGAAGCAACATTCATGTTTGAGATCTCAAAAAAATACGCAGAAGTTCTTGGGTGTTACGGCTCAAAAAACCATTTTCATGACCCTTCTGAGACATGGGCAGCAGTCTTCATTTTTTGAAGAATAAAAAAATTATTCAAGTAAAATTCAAATAGAAGAATAGCAACTAGCTAACCGTTGTCAAGTAAGCTGCAACAGCAGTCCAGTTAAATGCAACCGGATATAATAACTACCAGAAAAAGTATTGCAAAACTGCATTTCAAAGACTAGCTGAAAATAATCTGTATTTACTTGATCATAGGAAATGCACAGTTTATAGAATGTCCATTCTCCAGGAATGTAACCTATTCCTTACTTGAAATCAAAGCTATGTGGCTATGTGTTCAAGCTGTGAAGGCTTTTGTGTTATTGTTTCTAACTGAGAAAAATCAGAAATCCTACAAGTAAAACCCCAAAAGCTAGATACTACTTATATTCACTGTGCTCAATTGTCAAATGCCAGGCTATTGTGAAGAAGACCACAAGAGGGGTAACAGACGCTGCTTCATTAAGCACAACCGGTCCAAACCCTTATTATCATATGGGCAGTTCTCTGTCATATGGAACCGGTTATGGTGGTCACTCACATGACATTGCTGTCTCCAGCACCGCACAACAGCAAGCAGGAAGAGTAACACAGTGTTCGCACAATGTGTCCTGAAGCATTTAGCTTCCGCTGCCCAGTGACCTCTGAACTTTAAAAATGCCTTTTCCAGAGGATAGCCACAGCATGCTAAGGGTCTACTTTATTTATGCTTTGTTTCAGCCTGTTCTCATCAATCCCCCCTCATATTTGATGTCACCTCCACCAAAAAGAAACGATTTTAACTTGCAGATGTTATGAATGCCTGAGGCAACCTCAGATCTTACTTCCAATAATTTGCATTTGTTATGCTAAGCATATACATCCCCTGAATTATATCTAGTCCCTTTGTGGTCTAACGTAGGAATCCCTCTCCTATTGTTCTTGCTGTTAGCACTGTAATAACTACTGCTATTGCAATGTTAACAAAAGACTACTAATAATTCAAGTACGGTGCCAATTCCCAAGGAATCATCAAGTGAGAAATGCAGGTTGAAATGGTAGCTTCAATTCCAAGGACCTATTTTCTAGATTCAAGAGTTACAGCCATACATCACACGTGAAAACACAACACATGCTCAACAGACTTCTATTAATAATAATTAATTTAAAACAATGGTATTAAAAACTGCAAACAGTATCACAACAGTACAGCTTAATACCAAATATTTAAATTTTCATTTGCCAAGGATTTATTATTTTATTCATTTTTTTTTCCAGCTGCACTATCTACTTAACATTACCTGTGTTTTTTGCCAACAGGCCTAAAGATGGTTTTGCTAGCTGTGGCACTTGAGCCATTACGATATAAAATAATTATCTTTATTAATTTCCAGCTGATTACTTGGAAAAGATTACCCCTTAAACAGCCAGCTTAAAAATCAATTCAATTAAAATGTATATTAAAATGCCCTACAATGACATTCTTCTGACATTCATAAAAGTTTCATGGTCCAAGTATGCCTGAAAGTCCCCTTCAACAAAGAAGCAAAACTGAAAAAACAAAAATAAAAATATCAAAAGATCCTTCTCTTTTGCTGAAAGCTTTTCTTTTATAAGCTGCTCACTTTTATATGCCCTGTGCAAAGGAGAAAGAACATAAACTTTTGGCAGGACTGTTGGATGGTTCCCAGTAGCTATGCTGCTCATCAGTACTATAAAAGTAAAAGAAAGTAGACTGAAAATGTAAAGTTCCAATATTAACACCTTCCAACATTAACATCCTTTGCAGCACAGACTGAATAGATAGACACAAAATATTTTAAGCACCAGGCAGATGCAGCTTTCAATGTTAAAAGTAGGAGAGAATGCAAAAACAATTGCAAAAAAGTGAAAATTACAGGGTGGGTAGAAGAGACCCTTTTACCAGAAGACTTCTCAATACAGCATAAATTCAATCAACATTCTCAATACCACACAAGATCACAAACCTGACTTTAATAGAAATTAGTTAGATGTGGACTAACTTTGGTAACTCACACTAAAAATCTAAATTTTCAATATTGGAAGAGTCAGATGAAATTTCTTGCCTGGGATGACAGGAGTTTCATCCAGTCTAAAATCTTGTGTTTCCCCAGGGGATATATCCCCTACTTGGACGACTTCTCCCTACAGCCTGTTCCTATTGAGCTAAATCTAGGTTGAAATCCAGGAATGAAAACTGTGAGGAAAACCAAACCAACAGAAAAACTTTTCCATGAGATGGGAAAAGCAAAGGGGACTCTCTTCATGATGAAGAGAATGAAGACAATATTGTTCTGTGAAAATATGAAATTGCAGGGAACGAGTATCTGAGCAGAAAAAGGACCTCAGCTTCTTTCAAGTCATGTAGCAGAAGCATAAGACTTTGAGAGTCAAGGACCACATGCTGATTTTTATCTCCTGAATGTAAAGCAACAAAGGGATGAACTGCTTGCATTGTTGCATGTGGTACCGTTACCTTCCTTTAATGTATATTTTTTATACTTATAACCCTTTACAAATCCTTGAGTCCCAGGTAACTGTCGTCCAATGCATTACACCAATACAGCATACTGCAAAACTAAGCCCTTGATAGCTTTTTCGATTGGTCAATACACTGAAAACTACTTTGTTTTAAAAAAGGAGACAGTTAGTGATCAGGTGCAAGAACCACAAAAATAACTTTTCTCATGAAACGCATTGATATCATTTCAATGGCCACCATTACCATGAAGAAACAGTTGATCATTAATCAGCCATTTACTACAAGGCCTCTCTTTGAGATTTTCAACAGAGCAAAGTAAATGAAATAATTTTGTTCCCAGAAAGTAAAGCAAAAAAAAAAAAGAGAGAAAAAAGAAAAAAAAAGAAATTTGTTATTGAGTGATTATATACTTGTAGAGACTTACTTGAGACAAAGCAGCATCCCGTTGTTCTATTACTGCATTCATTTCCTCAGCTATTATTTTCTTTTTACGTTCTTTGGTCCTGTGTATTCGATTCAGAATTATAGCTCCATTCTTCAGTATATCTATCCCTGTGTCTGCATTGTTTATTCTGTTCAGTAATTCCTGTAATGTCTACCAACAGCATTATATGTTAGTCAGACATGAAGTTTTAATATATTTTATTTAATATAGGGTTTTAATTAATAGGCACATGTGAATTGTAAATTGACTGAGTGAAGTTATTGAATTTTCATATTGCAGCAAAGATGTACATTATTAGTGTGTCAATTCTTCTTTTTCCCACATCTTAGTTCTTGAAACCCACTCAATTGAACTTAAGCCTCTAAGATATAAGACTGACATCAAGAAATCTCCTCAGAGAATGGCTTACCATGTCATTTTCTTCAGGGTTAATATTTTCTAGCCTAGAAAAAAGGGACACAGAAAGCCTGATCAGTAGCATTTCCTTAGTGCAGCAAAATGAGTTCGCTTTTTAAATCTTTAGAACCTCAAGTAATTTCATTCTACTAGTCTTTAGAGTCAACCATGACACTGAACATATTAAAGTGCCACCTGCTCGACTCCATCTTTCAATAATGCTCCATATCTTCAGCACTGACTTCAGACTGTTAAGTTATTAATGTTTACTGCTATATATGACTACAAGGATCAATTGTTCATATGTGCTTAGATGAAGAAAGTTCCCCAGCGATAGAAATGACTGATGCTCTTATTTTATTTATTTCTGGGCTTACAACTTTTACCTGACGTTGTATTTTTGTTGTTTTTACTGCATCCCAGATGAAACAGGACAGGACTTTTGCGGAGATTTTTTTTTTTTCCATTTTAAAGTAATTCTTTTTCTACCCTTCTCTTCCAAAATGGGGAAAAAAACCTAGTTGCAGTTTCCTTAAAAATATTTTTATTTTATATCTTGCATAGAATAGCAAGCTAATTCAGTTCTCTGCAAGGCCCTTATTTAATTCTGGAACATCCCCCCCACCACCACCTTCCCCTGCTTTTAGTTCAACAGAACATATATTGACCTGTCAAATATAAAGGTAATACGAGGAATTTAGTCATACAGCATTGAACACTGGCTGTGCAAAAACAGGGAGTGAAAGCACAAAAATCTAATAAATGGGACAGTACGCATTTTATTTTACTTAAGGTTAGTTATATGGACAGCATATTATTTAAAACACCTATGTATATTTTGAAATGGAAGACACCTCTCTTCTTGAAAAATGAGCATATTAAACTTACCTTACTACCCCACTGCTACTTGCTTAATGGTGACTTCGACTAAAAGTAGGTCTGTCACTAGCGTATGATATTTTAAAGGATAGGTATTGTACCATTAAGTATCTACTAAACAGCAACACACATTTTTTAAACAGTGCTGTGACAGGTGGTGCTCTGAAGCCAAGATTTTAGCTCGCAAACATCACAGAGCACTTGACAGCACACTAACACCTTTTACTTTAAAGCATTAGTTTTACCAGGTAACAGTGCATAAGGCATAATAAATCAAACAGTACAGAAATTAATTCTTTAAATAAAAAATAAATAAATTCAGAATGTACTAGCAGTGTACAACAGCTGGTATATTTACATGGAATTCACGAGCAGTAACTACTCCAACATATGCAGTCAGCATCAGAACTGAACAAAATAAAGTAAAAGCTAACCTTTGCTGGGTTTGACTTGTATTAACAAAGTAACACAAATCATAAAATAACAAACATAAGTCCAGATTCTCAAGAACCGGCTCCTTGACTTGTCTCTTTATAGAGTTCCTGCTTTAGGTTTTTACATTGCTCTACGTGCCACTTCATGTGGGACTTAAAAATGGATCTCCGGCTAGTTTGTATTCACAATGAAAGAAACGGTATTTGTCAAAGTAAATTGGCATGACTGACCCGGCTTCTCCAGAGGACTTCTACCCTGCTAAAAGTGTGGGTCAACAAAATGACCCAGCCGACCAACAGGCTGGGTAAGCAAGACACCTTAGGGAGAAATGGGGGTGGGAAAAAGTACAGGAACTTCAACGGTAAGTGTAGCTGTACACTTACCACCTACACAGCATACCACTGCCACATGGGATCTCTCTGTAGGTGTACATACATCTCCTTAGGTGACAGGATTTTTTGAAAAGCAGCGTCCAGAGTTGTGTATTTACCCTGCTGCCTCTCCCACTGCTGTGCACAGGCAGTAAGTGACCCTTAGATCTCTCATGATCCAAGGATTCCTCTTTCCCCAGTTCTACGCACATTCTGCTACTGTAACCCCTAGGGCCAAGAGGACTGAACGAATTTTGGTTGTTACAGTTAAATAATAACAACAGAATTGCTCCAGCTGCTAATTTAAAGAAAGCATTACAGTGTTCGATAAAGGTTGGCAGGCTGTTCAATACTGCCCTCTGGTAAAGATCTCTGATTGGAGTAAGTCCAAAGCAGATGGAAGGAGCAACCTGCACTCTAAAACTTGATGAATGTTGCACAGGTAGTGTTCTTTGAAAAAAACCCAAACCTCTATGTACTCTCCATCTGAGACAGAGAACTTGACCTTTTGAACAACCAGCTTCAGGAAGAAAATATTAAGGGTGGTAGTTGGAAAAGTTCCAAGATTCCAGAAGAAACTCCAAAATTAAATAAAATAAAGCAAGTCCCTCATGGCTCATCCCATCATCTCTGCTCCTTCCAAAGGATTAGCAGAGTGGTGAGATGAACTAAAAAAAACCATTTCCATTCAGCCACAGTATTAAACTAATTAGAATAACGAGGCTGAGAAAACTAATTTCTTCATGGGGTTGACTATGCTTCTCAGAATGCAGCATCTCAATTTGACTCTTCTCAGTCATAGTCCTGGCTCGCTCCTCCCATTGCAAAATGCCAGACATCCAGGAAGATACAGAAATGCGTGTCTTGCCATCTCAGCTGAGATGTTACCACAGCTAGTAAATATGCCCAACATTCTGAAAAGCCTGAGTGCTGGAGCCAGGCAGGAATCTTGGCTCCACTCAACCATTTCTTGTTTGCAAGGTGTATGGCTGCATGAATAACCATCTTGTAAGCTTAGAATAAGTGGACCAGATGAAAAGCAAGCAGCTGAGCCTGATGGAGGCAATCCTGCCTTCTTGGTATTGTAATGCTTAAGGATTTCAAAAACAGCAAAGAATTTTTTAACAAAAACTACCCCTACCCACCCACCCCACCCTCCATACTCACGACAGGAAATGTGTCCCTGTACCATACCATTGGAAGAAATATCGTATTATCTAGAAGGTGCTGTCACACAGAGCACTGATATGGGTCAGGAAAGAGCCATGGTCAGCTTGACACATGGATGCAGTCGCTGTGAGCTGAGGTAATACTGAATATAAATCGGTGGAACAGAGTAAGACATTTTTGAAGTTTCTTACATTGTCTGATATGGCTTAAGAGATTCCTATCAAACTTGCAGTTTGGCTGAATGGGTAGCAAGGTAAGGAAAGAGGCAGGTATTAAGACATCTAATGCAGCAAACACGATGATTACTTGAACATATAAGTTTTTCTCCCTTTCAGGGGATTATACATGGCAATCAATGTCCAGTAATTCATTACCAGTAAGTACTTGCTGCATGGATGACTAACAAACTTTAACAAACTTTACAGTGGGAACAAATGCAGCTTTTGGGCTCTCTGCCTTTGTGGTGTTTGTCAAGTAGGGTTTTTCTTTGACTGCTCTGACGACTGACACTGAAACTATCAATGAAAATAAAACCACATAACATTTTTCAAAACCCTTTAGCAACATCTTTGTGCCCTATGGGAGGCATAAGCATGCTTGGGGTCTGCCTAAGGATTTTGTTCATATCCAGGATGCCCTCAGTGACAGGTCACAGTACCCACAATGTGAAAGACTTGGGTATGACTCCTCCCAACGAGCTGCCATTGCCACAGTCAGTCTCTGTAATGCAGAACGGGAGATCCTGGAAAATACTGGAACTATGATCTTACAGTACACAGGCAGCCTGGCAAGGACAATTCTTTTGAATTAAATTTGCTTTTGTGCCCAGTCTCGTGTACTGGTGTTGGCTGTCATGACAGCAAATATCACACAGAAGCCTGACGTGCACCCTTGCAGAATATACAGGACAAGACACTAGCTACGGACAATGGCTCACCGGTTTAGGCAAAGAGGAATGTATATCAGGTATTGAAGCAACAGTAGCTGGTTAGCTCTTCACAATTTTGACCTCGTTGGGTTGGTGTTCTCCACAGAGAAATCTCCTATGCCAATTCTGAGACTGTGAATGGCATCAGGGCACCAGGCCTCTCTATAAAGCATGAGAAAGAGCTCCTAAATGGATGACAGCAACAACAATTGCTGTTCTCTATAGAATAGCAAGAAGGTGTAATAGCTTGGCTCCAAGCTATCAGCCAAGGGAGTTAACTGACCCTCTCCTTGGAGCGAGTACCTTTTTTGTCATTACCTTTGCCTTCTGCAATGACAGTTTTTGGGGAAGGTAGTATGCATATTCTCCAAGAAATGGAGTTTCTTCTCTTTTCTCATCCTTATGCTTGAAACTCAAGTGGTCTTCCAGTACATGAGTGAAGCAGACAGAAGGGGCTGAAGGGAAAACGAGGGATGGTGTTCTGAGGGATTCATGTGGGCCAAGACCTGCCACACGTGTGTCTATGTTTCCACTGCAGAAAAAAGCAGCAATATGCCTCTCACACACTTAATTACCTGTGATTTCTTCCAGAAACCCAAAAGTCATTGACTAGGTCCGTTGACCAGAATAATTAATTTGCTGCAGGACTTGAGTGCTTTAACCCCAAAGATCTTGAGTTTATGCTACCAGCTTATACACAGTTTCATTTGATTTTGGGGGCCACACAAAACTCTTGCTTTCTTTACTCTTGGAACATACAAAATTAGAAGAGTGACAGAGGAAACTGGGAAGACTGGAGTAAGGCTCACAGTTATGATGCCTCTTATGTGAATGTAAAGCATTTGTCATCTCCTCAGAGACTGCTGCTCAAAGCAAGATTTCAGATGCATGTACTCCTAGAATGGGCTCTGTAGAGACATCTACTCTAACAAATTGTGCACTAGTTCTTGTGGGAATGGAATCTCCTAATCTTGCTGTTGAGTCATACTTACAGGCTGTGACAGACTCTAGCAACTTGTAAACTGCACAGAGTAATGGTGCTCAAATTATGTGCAGAATATCAAAATTTATTTAGATAACATTCTCTGGCCTTGCCCACAAAAATACCCAAAAGAAGGCGACTGGTTTTCTGCCATAAAGAGGAATGTGAGTTCTTACTAGAATCAATTATTTAAAACGTCATTGCCTACCATTTAGTTAACTAACAACTGCACCTATTAGTCTCCTACCATGAAGAGTGTTCTTAATAAAATCAATTATTTAAAACGTCATTGCCTACCATTTAGTTAACTAACAACTGCACCTATTAGTCTCCTACCATGAAAAACTTCTCTGCTTCGTATTTCTCTTGGTAGAAAAATTGGAGAAATTTCTCAGCCACACTAGACTTCGGGGCCTACCCTTTGGGGGACTACTATAGATGGTAACTACTATAGATGATCACAGCTCAGACAGAGAAGGATTACATGGAGAGGCAAATTGTAGCTTCAAAGCTAGTTATATCACAAAGGGAGAAAAGAAACTGTTCTTGATCTTCCTCTCCTGACTTAACAGTTTTGTTTAACGTGAGATTGTCTATTTCTGTTGTGTTAACATGGCATACATAAAACTCTATGAAGTATTAATTATACCCTTATTGCCTCATAAACTGCTTCTAAACTAAAGATAGGAAAAAAACCATATATTTTTACTACATCACCCACATCATTAGTAGAAATTTTGCTGAAGAAAATGTCCAGTGGGCTTAAAGGCTTGATTGATTTCCTATACATTACAACTTCTGACTGACATTCTGGTACTTCATGTCAAAAGATCCCTATAAAATGTCACATTCGTCTTATTTGTCCCTGAATAAATCAATACCGCAGCTTTTGATTATATTTTTAATTTTTGTGATCAAAATTATCCACCTTGCTCTCAGTCTCCAGAGAAAAATACAGTCTTATAGGATGGCTAACAAATTAACCAATAGCACAGTAAGACTAGCACTAACCTGTTATTTCCTCATAGAGAAGTTTGTGCTAAGTTTTCCTATATAAACGTTGTCGAGCAGTTTCTGACAGTCACAGACTGACACAACAACCTTTTTGCCCAGGGCAGGAAATGTATACTTACTCTTTAAGAGACTCTTCTAAATGCTGGACTCGCAGAAAGGCTTCATCTCTCTCTTCATTGGCTAACCTAAGCCTTGCCATGACAGCCTCGTCACGTTCTCGTTGAGCAGAATAAACTTCTTCCACCAATGCTGCAAAAGTAACCAGTGTGTTTAACAAATAAGTTTGACAGGGAAAAACACTATTAGATGCACTTACATGGGCCTTTGCCAGCATCTCCTAACACCAACATTTCTCCACTGACCTCGGATTACTCTGGATAAGATCTATATTACTCTTCAGACACAACACTAAACTGCTGTTGATTGCTAAAATGAATACTTTAAGGAATGAAATAAAGCTATGTTTTCAAATTCACCCCTGTATAATCACACAGGGCAAGGAAAGGATTTGCTTTGCGTTCTGAATTCTTGCTTAATGGAAAAGTAATTCTTAAAGTTCAGAATCATATGAGACACTAGTAGGTTTCTTCTAGGACACAGAGTTAAAAGTAATGATCCATTAAAACTAATTCTACCGTGACACTGCTTTCTATCAGGGTGGCACACTGATATTAAATATTAAAAATTCTAATATTTTCATAGTCTGTCTCTGGTATCACAAGAGTGGCACAGCTGGCATCTCTCTTTCTCTGCCAAGCCTTTACTTTATTGTGTAATATACTGTTATATTATCTGTTACGGCATACATGGACCTTGGAGCATTAGGTGCCAATAAACTAAGATTTACTGTCTATCCTTGGGAGCAAACTAACACCTTCAAGTCATTCCTCATCCCGAGCTTACATTTTCTTCCTGCCTCTCCCTTGTCAATATGTCTAACACCATCTCTGGCACACTGCCAGAATCCTTACCTCGACCCTGCCTCCACTAAAATCTTTATTCATACTTTCATCATTTCCCTTTGCAATACTGCAAATCTCTCCTCACAGTCATCATAAAACCCTGCAGTTGAAATGCCTAGGGACTTTCATGATGCCATAGTAAAACTGCTGTCACTCCAAGACAGGAGACTATATCCTCTCTGATTGTCACAGGCACTTCCAAAAAACTCAACCCACGCCTGTAGGTTCCAGAATTCTCCATGCTCCCCTTCTAGTCTGCCAAGTTGGTGTTTAGCCACAGTCTTCTAACACCATACTACAGTCTCTTTCAAATTTTGGCAATTTTTTTCTCAAGAACCTTCTGTATTAACCCATTGCTGCTGAGCTTTCTTACTCCCTTCAGAACTCTGCTCCTCTCTGAACCACTGCTCAGGTCATTAACTTTAGATCTCAAAGAAAGCCTTCCTCTTCACTTTAAGCTAGAGCTTTTATCCCCTCCATTCTTGCCTCAATTGATATCAACTTTGTTGCCTTTATAGGTTAGTTTACTCTTACTTCACCTTTGTACATTATTGTACAAAAACTTCACAGTGTGATATAATATAAAACACTTTATGATTCTTCACAGAATGGAACAATAGGAGCATAGTAGTATGTTTTGGTAGCAGCTATATTGCTGGCACAAAATACACATTATAAGTACCAAAAAACACCCCAAAACACCCCAACTGAAATTAGAAAAAGCAGTAAGTTTCAGTACAGTTTACAAGCAGCTCAGATAACCAGGGATGTGAAATGAGAAAAAGACTGTGGAGAGATGAATTAGGAAGACGTCCAAGGTAGGAAAGCAATCCTCTTGTTCTCAAGCTGGGCAGAAGAGCATTACTGAGGAGCAAGGAAGCATTTTTTGCAGGTCTAGCAAAAGGTTGCACAATAACAACAAATTGGACAAAAGAAGACAGGGAAAGTCTAAATGTCACTTCTGGGAGTGCAGTCCCCCCTCTCACAAAAATTTGTAGAGGAGCTGCAAGTGTAGTCATCAGGCCAGAGATATAACAAGTTGCATCCCAACAACAACAACAAAAAATATTCAGAATCAGAAGCACAAATCTTGAAATGTACAGAAAATTTAACAAACGCTGATTCTCTTCTATTTGAGTATTTACTTGTTCCACAAGAATAGGGTTGGTTTTTTTCCTGAATATCTATTTCCCCTGTTTGCAACAAGAAAGCTTTGCTTGATGTGGAAAGGAAAAACTAAGGCATGAATAAAGCAGCTGCAAAACTGCATACACACAGATTGGTAGTCAGGAATAAGTTTGCAGCACTTGCAGAGGATGAGTCCGGTATCTGCAATGGTAGGTGGCTCAGCAAGGACAAGAACAAATTGTATGGGGTGGGCTGTGCATTTCAGCTCACCAGACTTCCACTTAGGTTGCTGAGACCTGTGATGGCAGGGAAACTAGTGCCTCAGCATTGGCTACCTGGGTAAACTATAATACAGCTTCCATATCCCAGCTGGATCTGGAATGCACAAGCAGTTTAATTATGTATTGTAACTATTACCTATCTATAACCTAATATATTTGTTTACGATAGTTCTTCCAGAAAATTATGTCAGTTTACCTAGCATCCCGCCAGAGACACTGCACAGAGAACTCTCTACATCAAGCTGCAAGTGGAAACATTATGCAATTTTCATAATGAAAACAATTGCTAGAATGAATAGAAACCTGTCTAATATAACTGAAAATTTGACACTTATTACTGTTCTGGGGTTAATTAGTGTCCAGAGTAGTTAACTTTGAGTGTATCCCTTCTGTCAGACCCTATAACATCCCCACCTTAGCAGGGAAAACCACAATTTGCTGAGTGCTACAATGGCTCTTGAGCATAAAACTACATTTAGGGGGACTGTGTTTGGTATATCCAATCCCATCTTTAAGGAACTATAACCATGACTGCGCAGGCTTTTTAAAATCAGATTTTTGCTTATTTGTCTTTAAACCAAAGTAATATATATGTAACAGTATGAAAACATTCACAAAAAGAGATTTTTTAAAGTTACTTAAACATCCTGCTTATCTCAAATCTTACCATCCCTGATAGCAGCCCAAAGGCTAATTGCCTTGAACAGTGAACCCTTCCCCCACCCAAAGGCCCATTACAAAATACCCTCTTTTAACTATTGGCTATGGAAAAGTGACTTAAAGCAAGCAACTCTTTCTTGTTATTTTCTTACCCTTCCACTAACTAATTGGAGTAAATATCCCAATGATCAGATACACCAAATACCAGAATAAAAAATTATAGCTTTTCATATCAATTGCAAGTGTTTGGCTTTTGCTTCTATTTCTTATAAGCAATATTGCAAGGGGGTTTTTTTCATATTAAAACAGATTAGGGAGAGCGTAGAAAATCATGTAAGATGCCTGCATGGTAATCTAAGTTTAAAAAAAAAAAAAAGAAAGAAAAAGATACTTAGCTACGTGGCATTTCAATATCATGTAGCAATACTGACACCGATCACAAGAAATTACTAATTTAAAAAATATTTAAAGTCCTCATCTAACTCATTTTAATGGTCTACAGAAGGCTAAATCACCTGATTCCTTTACCAACCAAAGCTTCTGCTGAATTTAGGTTAGACATTTCTGTTATCCAATGCCTATACATTTCTGACTCTATGTAATATTTAACAAATTCGTTTTTTTTAATGCTATATGGAATAGTATAACAGTTACATAATTGCAGGTAGTCCGAAGTATGGTGTTGTTAACACTATAGTTCGCCATTCACATTGAGCTATGGATGAGTCACAAGTAAAAGTTCAGGACCATAAGGATCACAAGATTTGTCAAATAAGCCTCTGAAACACATACACCTTTGGGCTGCAACACAGCAGCAAGTCAAAACATTTTGTGTCATATTTAGGAAAGTGTGTGAAGTATAAGCTGTCCAATGAAAAGTCTATGAGAGACAGTGACATAAAAATCCGCTATATTAAAAAGAGTGAAGAATATCCAGATTATTATCCCTATGCTGCTTAAAAATGCCAGGTGAAAATTAATTGAGAGTAACAAGTCAGGCTCCCAAGTCCCATTCCAGATATGGCATATCCAGCAAAATACTAGCCCCATACTGGCACACTGACTCAACGCCTGATCCAATGAAAAAAGGTATCCAGCTACTTAGTCACCAACTGCTCTGGTCGACACCACAAGGTTTTTCTTGGAGACCTTCCAGTGGTGCACCAACCAACCCTATCCTGTTTATCTTGAAGCCTGACCAACAAGAAACACAAATTCTTATAGAACTCACGTTTCAAGCAAGAAAGTGACACACAAAAATGAAGTACGAATAGTCAAGCATTAAGCTAAAATGAATTGTGTCATTTACTAATTCATATACATATAATGACATTCAAGAGTTGAAATATTTAAATCCCATAGTGCTAAATTAAGAAAAAAATAGTATTTTCCAATGCTTGCAAACATTGTAATATACACAAATGTGACATTACTATTTAGTTGCATAAACTTTATTTGCTTTAGAATAATTTAATAACATCTTTCTCCTTGTAACTAAACCCCCTGCATACTCTAAAAGAGCTCTTTATTTTAAAAGAATCATTATGCTAAACTCATCAATCCTAAAACATTTTTAGTTTTTAGTAAAGAAAACAATTGTAAACACAGAGCTTTTGTAAGGTAGATAGCTATTACAAAGTTCACTTAGAAAATCAATATAGCATTTTAGCTGGAATTTGCTCATTAAACACCCACAGCTCTAATGCAAATTATGATGGAATGAATAAAGCAAATACATATGCTTCTTTCTTTTTATTAAATGTAAAATCTACTGTTAATTGCATCTGGTATGTCATATAAACTTTTCTCCTTAACTATTAAATGGAAGCTTTTACAAAAGTCATTAGAGATTCTCTTTCTTTGACTTGTATAAATTTCAATATTTGTTCAGTAAAGGTTCACAGCAGTTAAATTACATTAACAAATATTATTAGCTACTATGTAAGCCAACTAAGTAAAATACTTATATTGCAGGTAAAACAAATCAATGGGTGTTTACAATAATATTTGGATATGTCCATTTTTAAACAAGCTTATCAAATATCATGTAATTCTTAGCCAAATGAGAGAGACTCAAAGTAGATTTTTTCTTCCCAAATACTCAAATTTGTTTAGTAAGCTAATTGTTTTCTAATATGGGCAAAAGTAAATATGAAGAAGATGAACCATACGGAGTATGAGTTTACTGAGTCAAAGCAGTGTACATATTTTCTTAGTT